AAGGGGGGGGGGGGGGGGAATCAGCAATTCCTTATTGAATTTCTTTGTGTACATAAAGGAATAAATATTTAACGTTACATAAAATTTGCGTAAGATAGCTAAATGAGCTAATGGATTCTTATCAGGGAAAAACATTTATACGTAATGTGTGTGTTCATATAATTTTCTTCCTTTGCAATTACAGTAAAAAATATAAACGTACGAAGTCTATAAATAACCGATTAAAACACACAGGTAATGAGAAAAAGTCGTGAAACTCTAGTCGTCCATAAATGATGAATGGAAATCGCCACAAAGCAACTTATAAGGTAAAAACTCGCAGTCGACCTTGTCGTCAAAATTTTTCGCCGCAGATCTGCAATCGGTGTAACTATGCCAGTAAAAATTGATATAATTGAACGAGTAAATAAAAGAGACGTCCGCGTATTATCAACGATAAATAAAATGCAAAAAGTGACAGACTTTTAAATCCGAAAAGTATATATTATTAGTGAGAACGATTAATATAAAAGATAAATGAAGAAATAAACGTGATTAAACATAAACCGTCACGAAATGTTTTCACAGTAAATATAATCAACTTCATCATATATTTTCGACGAAGAGATATTTATTAGCCGAGAGTTAATAAATTGTGATAGGAAAAGACGCTGTGTCTAGCCGATAACAAATTAATTAACGTGCCACGCTACAGAACAAACTGAAAGAAATCGCGTGGCTTTGAAATATGTACGGCTGTTTTGTGGCTATTTTAGACAACGCGTTAAACGAGATACGGTACATGTTTATTTACTATTCACATGTAAACGCGAGCATAAAGGAAAAAAGAAAGATATAATTTCTGTACGAATAAATTATCGCGAAGCGATAAGTTACCTTTGTCTTTGTGAACTAAAAAAAATAAAAATACTATAAAAATAATATAATTGCCTTTATATACAACGCATTTTATAGACATTAAATGCCTCTCGCTCACGTACGAATAAATTATCGCGAAGCGATAAGTTACTTGTCTTTGTGAACTAAAAAGAATAAAAATACTATAAAAATAATATAATTGCCTTTATATACAACGCATTTTATAGACATTAAATGCCTCTCGTTCACGTCGTTTTAGAAATTATTGTAAAACCTGTTCAAACATTCAATCGATACATATATAATCAAATAAAATGTTCAATAAAGTAAACAATATTACATCAAGAATTAAAAAAAAATCGTATAACCAGTTTTTCTAGAAAATCTTGATGCAAATCCGTTTCCACGAAATCTTTTTATTTTATACACATGGAAGTACGATTAAGATGCCTCTCTTAGAATAATAAATAACAAATCTTCAAGATCACTTAAACTCTCTATTGCAAATATTAAGACTCGTGTATACTAATTATACCACGAGCTAGCAATAGCGGTCTAGCGATAGACACGGTTACCACGTGTCAATTAATTAAGACATTCCTTATGAGTAATTAGTGCCAATTAACCGCGGATTTATCGCTGATCGTTCCCATAAAGCAACAATAAATGCCGATCTCAATTGCGTGGCTCGGCCGACCGTGATCGAAATGCCCGCCTGTTGAGGCCGCGTTTCTGCTGAAGCGCAGCTTCATTGTCTTCGTGCAGCGATTGAGCAACTGTCTGTGCTCAAATTATACGCGTCAAGAGCAGGCTATTCCACCCAATTTAATAAAATCCAACAGCGTCGCGGATCAAATAGGTCCTTAATCTTTCCTTCGTTCCACGTGCGGAATATTTCAGAAAAGAAAAGCTATTTCTAAATTTATATCTAAATCTTCTCGCTCTACCAACCTGTGGTATTTCTCGTTTCGTCTCCAATAAGTTTCTTTCGCGCGCTTTTTCATCGCTTTGCACCGCGTTCTTGTACAACACTACTTTTGTAGAAACCGAATCGATCAACGATCCAAACGGCGCGACATTGACGACTTTGTCGACCTCATTCGCAACTTCATTGATGCTGCATAGATCACTGGACCCTGTTGCCGGTTTGCATTCGCCGTTGCCTGAAACGGCTAAACTGTCCTCACGATTCGACATTTGGCTATCGACTAACCGTTCCATTCGCGACTGACTCTCATCGTCGATTCTTTGCACGCACGCCAAGGAGTGGGGATCCTTTGAAACCACGATCTTCGCTGGATCTGCGGGAGAAACGAAATGGATGATCTAATAAGACAGCTTGAGAGAAATTTCCACGACGTCTCCTTCTGAGACGGATGTGAGAAGTCGGAGGTGATTAAGAGGATTATATTATCGCACTTTGATACGCGCGGTAAATTTTTTTGCCATATTATTAAATTGTGTGATATGCATTAATAAGTATGATATATATTACACAGGAGCATGAGCGTAGCATGATGAATAGTGTACGAGTCTAACATGTTAGGGGATTCAAGATTGATCGCTGGCAGATCTAAGAAATTTTCACGCGCTCGTAACTTCTCTTTGGCGATCTGACAAATCACCAAGAGTATCTATTGCCAAAAAAATCTCTTAAACTGCCGTTCGGAATCGGTATCAAATTGTAGGTCTCGTATGTTTGTGTACAACCTTATTTGTGTACTACGGGCATACGAAAAGTCTGACTTTAGGATGTTATGTCAAATATGATATAGTCTTCATATCTTAGCTTGATTAAGATCGACTGACTAGATTCGAGATACTTACCAGTTCGATCGCGGGAAAATAGACAGCGATTAGGCACTAAGTGTGTTTGCGAAACATTCTTGTTTAAACATGGTGTAGATTCGAATACCACATTCTTCACCTTACACTTGTCTGTAAATGTCGAAGATGAATGCATGGAAACGTCGTCATCTTTCTTGTGTTCGCCGATAGAAGACGAAGAAGAGTCCAAAATATCCAATTCAGTGAAATTAACTAAAACGGAAGAAGCACCGTTGGAAGCTTCGGCGATTCTATGTAACTCGTTTTTTGCTTCCAGTGGAAATCTTAAACGCGTGGGCGCTAAATGAATCTTTCTAAGTATCGTTTGCTCGATCGGCAATTCATCCTCTAGCAGACTATCCTGGAATTGCTTTCCTGGTGAGGAGTTCGTGGAATCGCTGTCGCTCTCTTTGTTGCGGTAACCGCCATTAAACGTATAGTTCATCATATTTCGTTCCAAGTCGACGATCTTGTTGATTTGCGAGGGAGACTTGTGTGGATTACTTAGCAATTGCTTCGCTTCCAGATTAGCTGCCTGATGATGATCCTCGCGCGTATCTTGCACCGCCACGACGTCGAACGGGCGGCAGTAGACCGAGATTTTTCTGCGAGGACTCGCTGGATTGCTTGCGCTGTTTACTTCTGGTACTTGCTCACTTGCGCAATTCCACTTTATCTCCTCCGATATGGCCAATGCCTTTGAATCCACTTTAAGAATACTTGATACCTTTGACATTTCACTCGATCGATTTTCCTCGGAATGGGCAGGATTTTCTTTGGAAATATCGCGTGCTTCCGCAGTAAGTAGCACAGATTTCTCGTCGTGGTCTTCCTGCGTTAGACCGTCTCCTCGCGCGAACGGAATATTGATAGTATTCGTTTCAGGATTTTGATAATCAAATATTTGTCTCGAGTCTTCCACGGCTAGCGAGGATGATTGTAGCGATTGCAAGTTCGACGACAACGTGTATATTGATCGGTCCCTATTAACAAAATAATCATTTAATTACCAGCAACTTAGTTCCCATTAACATTTATATCATTGTTTGATACATTCACAATACAGACATTTCGCGACCACGTTTCTTTTTTCGTAATAACATTTCGTAACAAATCAATTTTGAACTGTTACATATTTTATAACTAACTCGACCTTAAATTCCCGGTTAGCCGGCAGTCTTTGCGATCGACAAGAGCGTTAAGAGTGCTCTCGATGATGTCGTGTAATTCTTTGATGATGGGTTCGATGATGTGGGATCGATTTTGAATACCCGGGCATATCTTTATAACTCTCGAGAACAAGTCATCATCTTCGTTATTCACGTAATGTGTTATCGATGTCAGATCCACTTTTACTTTCGGCTGACTAGAATAGCGATTATAGCAAAGAGAAGTTGAAGAATATGCAAGATGAGTACACCGGGCATACTTAACGCATTAAATTAGAATTTACAAAGTCGATTGTATTAGCCGTGGCGTATTACAGACGATATGTTTTTGCATGATAACGGATGATAACTGTTTAACTTAAATGTCAGCAATAGCCTGCGGCGTAACGCAAATTCATGCATAATGCAAATTCGTGTTAAAATTTTTAATAGCCTTGAAACTTTGGCATCTCTTATATAATAACATTTTTTAAAATATCAGTTGCAAATAATATTATATAACGATTAAAGGAACTAATGAAGAAAACATTTCTACATAATTAAAGCAGAAATTTATATAAAAATAATTGTCTTATTTGTGTCGCGGTGTCGCCAAATCGTCAAATAACGTCAGTCTCTATAACAATATGTTCAAAATGCAATGTTTTCGTTCTTTCTATGAACACTTGTATGATAAAATTTAAGAAAAATATAATTATGACTAATATGTGCAAAGGTCACGAGAGCTAGTGAGAATATTTTTTATCAAAACAGAAATTTATGTAAAAAAAATTGTCTTTATCTTCTTATATTTGCCCACAAAGGCCGAGGTTGATCTTGATGACATAAACAATTCGTGCAGATTACAGAGACGACTAATTAGAACTGCACGCGTGGTACATGCGCGCATAGATTTAGCGAGGCGATTTATGTCATTAAGGCAACAAATCAAACTGTCCTTGCTACGCGCGCGCTTAATGTCTGCGTTACATCAATGCTATCTGTGTCCCTATCTTATTGTTAAATACGCACGGTGTCGCGTTCGTAGTTAATTATTCTACTAGTTTTCTATCGATTTATCTCTATTAGTTTCGATTTCGCGCGAATTAATCGTTTAAAATTTTATATCCCCGATTCTTTCGAAGAACTTATTCTAAAATTCTCCTCAAAACTTTGTATTAATGATTAATGAGAAGTCGAGATCGTTCTGAGAATCGCTGTCTCCACAATCTTGTATTATGCGACAAGTTTCTTTGCGTTGAAGATATTTTTCCGATTGAATAAAGAAGACACTTCGATATATGTACGAGATGAAATTTTTTTCGGATTACCCGAAATGTTGTTCTCGAGGTACGACACGCGCGACAAGAAGGTCCGGAGCGTACTGATTGCATTCGCCCGGTGAATCGATCTTCTTAGCGGTGCTCTGACGTCTTTTACATCGTGTAGCCGGAGGTAATCTCTGGATTGTATTTCGAGAGATCACGATAATCGCCCGTATAAGAAACACGTAACAACGTATTTTCTCGTGGCACTCACTACAAATCCAAATATGTAAAAAATGATTACAATATATTACATGTATAAATTAGTTTTTTGTATAAAAATAACATTATATATTACATATTTAAATGTGTAAATTAATTTTTCTACGTAATATAGTGTGCTATTTTTACGGAAAACTAATCACATACATATGATATATAATATTAGTCACTTTTTACATACGAACATGGATAAATTGCAGTAATATTCTGAACTCACGTAACGCAAGAAAATCGTCTGAAGGAAAAAAAAGATAATAAATGCTTAAGAATATTCCTTCGATATATCTATGTGTAATGTGTCAATTCCAGTCTATCGACAAGTCCCGTTGTTGTCTTGCGGAAAAAATCCTCCCGCGGAAAAAAATTTTATGATAAAAATCGTATTACCTCAGCACATTTATGACAATAGATTTCTAATAAGCGTATTTTTAATCGCGCATAAAAAGAAAAAACAAATGCCGGAATTAAATTCTCGCGTTTGCAAATTAGGAAAGGATGGATCAAGGCGCAAGTGCGACTAGCCGGCAAATATTTTTGTTGGCGTGCGAAAACTGAGATAGAAATCAAGATTTAAGGCGAGATTCGGGACAGTCCGGCTATTTTTACGTGGAGTGTCATTCGAGGGCGCTGTCATACATGCAGGTCATGTAAGCAACGAGCAACGCAGCATCGCTATTTTTATGGGAAACCCTGAGGATCCGCCCGCTATGTCTGACCTTGAACCAGATATTCAAATCGAATGGTCATTCGCTTCGGAAATCGAAACAATATTTCTTCCGTTTATGCGACATATAATGTTCGAGATTGGCGTTTATAATCAGAACGGCGCGGCATTTCGGTCTTTCGTAAAAGTCAACTCGTCAACAAGGTCTCGGTTTACTAATGTAGAAAAGAATCTTTTGAGATAACAGACTCACGATAGACTCTTCTTCCGGGAATTAATCATCTTCAGTTTAGTCTACGATACACTGACAAGCGTAACTTTGAATACAGGCGCGCCAAGTGCAATGTTACACATCGTTGTCTTATACCAACAATGTTAACTTACATTGCGTGCGTTGACAACACATCCCGGAAACTCCTGACGCCAAATTGCTCCAAACTGCTGGTTATGTTTACCGGTTCGACTTGGAGCTGTGTACTCGAATCCTGTCTCGTGTTTCTCCTCGTGATCTCTTCTGTCGCCTGCAAAAAGATGTGAATAGATAAAAGAATAAGGCAAGACAAAAAAAAAAGAGAGAAAAAGATCGTAAACGTGAAATCGAAGAGCATGTGTGTCGCTTTGTCATGAAAATTAGCGTTCATCGCTAACATGATCAACTAACTATAGTAAAGTCGCGGCAAGTACAACGCGCGTGTCAAGGTAATCGTTTCAGTATACCTTATCAACATCGATGACGTTCGCGAAAGAAAAATCCTGAAATAAAAATAAACCAAATAAAACTCACCATATTTAGTAGAAAAGATGTTTTGTGCCTCAATATATGGATATTATGATCTTTTGCATCCGTGTCTTGCGGATTAAAACGAGATAAGTCGTCGATAGAGCCTCGTATCGTAACAAAAAACTGTATAACTCTGAAAATTAATCGCAAATAAAACGTAAAGCAAGCTCAACCAAAATCGTTAAATCGGAAAACCGATCAATAGAGGAAATCAAATATAATTAAACTAAAATATAATGACTTTTCTAGCTGTTCCAGTATCGTAATAATTGTGGCATCGTATTCATTTAGTTCATCCTCGAGTTCTTGTATGTTACTTCTGCTGTAGTCAGCTGTAAAACCCTGAAATGTAAAATGATAAGGAATAAAATTCAAATCTCTGTTAAAATATTCGTATTACTTGTTATATAGCACGCGTTAGAAAAAATCTTAATTGAAATGACATTTTCACTCACTGAAGCTTTCAATTCCAAATACAACGAATCTTCCATCGGTACTTTTATCGATTTATAGGGTGTACTATGCATGTAGCATTCATCTTCGTCCAAAACTGGCGATAGCGAGAGCTGTAAATAATTGTGTTAATTATACCACCAGAGAGAAATATCATTTTTACATAATTTATAATTCTATAACATTAATAGTTTACTCTTTCTCCGATAGAGCATGTGTTAAGGGCCGACAATGATTGCAATTCCACATTTTCGTCTGTAAGCTTACGATTCTTTTCACGCAGATTCTGTAATATACGATTTTTGTTGTAACATTGTAATTCATTGGACATGGTTATATGAATATCGAGTAATATTTCAAACTTACACGAATCATATATTCATAATCCTTTTTCATGCTGATACTCGTGTCCTCGAGTTCGGTTATTGTAGTTTTTAATTCGCAGCAATTGTTTTCTTTCTCGTCAGATTCCTTTTGCATTTTGACGATCAGTTTCAAACACTCCGTTTTCTCTTTGGTGATCTTCTCTAGTTTTTCTTTTAAAGATGGTATAGCCTGTATCTATTTATTTGTACGGGAAAAGTAATAGAAACGTTTAATAATTAAGCATATATAATAAAGATTTTCCATAATCAAATATTTATATTTAAGAATTCACATACAAACATTAGTTACGAAAAATTATGCAGAAAAATACAAAATGAAAATATGAACGTGTAATTTCTACGTTTAAACGGAAATCATAAATAGCTCCTTATAAAATAATAAGATGCAATTAGGTTTTACCTCAATCTCTGCGGCTTCTAATTGTTTCAACAAGTTCTGATGCTCTTTCGTATATCTTTGAAGAGCCAAGGTCATAGTCTTTTCATTTTTAATTAATTCATTTAATTGATCTCTTTGCTCATCATTCTCCTTTTCAAATTGCTGACATTTGTGAACATAATGCTTTCTGTATCAATAAATCATATATGCGTGAGCATGAACGTCATAAGAATATATTAATATAAATCAATTTTTTGACATTATTCATTATAAATACAAAACACTTGGATGTCAAGTAAATCATACGCACAGCTGTTTTTCGATAATACTGTGTTGTTGTTTGAGATTGTTGATTGATTTTTCATGTCGTTCGAGTTCGTCGCGAAGAATATTGTTTTCCTCAGTGAGTTCTCGAAATTTCATATTTCGAAGCTCCAATTCCACGATATCATTAGTCAGATCCATGGTTTTCATTGAAGAGTTTGTGTCGTTCACGAGGCTACAATTAGTATACATTATGTTATGTATTACTAGCCGTTGTACAAATAAAAATTATTATTACGTAACATAACGCATATCCTACATTTCCAATAGCGAACACATTAATTTGTCTTCGTGTACTCTCTCTGTACATAATATATCTATTTAACACTAGAAATACAATGCTTATTACTAAAAATAGAATAAGTATGTAAATAAATTACTATTAAAATAGAAAAATAAATAAATGAGCTAATATTTCATATAATTAAAGATACAGTTATTGAAAAAAAAAAGAAATATAATATTAATCTAAAAATAGAAAACAATTACCAATGATCGCTTGATATTTCTAGTGTTAAAATGCGTATCAAAAGAGCTAAATGTTTATCTACATAAAGTAATTTTTATAATCAAAATGTTAATTAAATTATAAAACAAAATATTATATATCTTTATATACTAAGTCTAAGTTTAATAAACAGATATAGTTAATACATTCAATAGAATCATACTAGCATATTGCCAAAAAAAGTTATATTAAAATAATACGTTTATTATTTACGTATGGAAGTAATATTATATATCTTTATATACTAAGTCTAAGTTCAATAAACAGATATAGTTAATATATTCAATAAAATCATACTAGCATATTGCCAAAAAAAGTTATATTAAAATAATACGTTTATTATTTACGTATGTTTTAAATTCACATTATTTCTATTATAATATAATATTACGATGCAATAGAAGACTGAATATTCCACTTACTTTTTATACCGATCGCAAATCATAATCTATCAAATCAACGGTGCAAAATGAAATATGTCTATCACTATTATAAATGTGCTAGCATAGCGTCAACAAATTAACTCTAAATTCTTCGATTTCGCAATGAACATTTACAATAATTAAGCTGCTACATTTAACAATTCGTGAGAACTCCTCCCGGAGATTCACAAGAGCGCTTCGCGCGCGATCAATCGTGTGGAGAGGGCACGTAAATAATTCCAGAAATAAATTAGCCAATTTCTCCTGTTTACGATCGCGATCAGCGCGTTAACGAGATCACCAGATATGACCACAGGCGAGTAGTGACTGAACACCACACGCGAATTGCATAAGAGATATCGCGTGCCGATTTCCAGCTGCCACAATATTCGTACGTCACACACACCGCACGAATAACACCTGTGTGTCGCTTATTCGATTCTATCGGGACCAACGACGAGAAATTGGCGGTGCTCCGCGACTTGGGGACTTATTCACGAACATATATATATATATATACACACACACACATATTATGAAGACATACACATGTATACATGCACGGAACGTTCGTATGAAGTAAACATTCTTTTCATCAATTCATCAGTCGTTGTTTCGCTTCGTGCTTATGTCGGTTCTATTAGATTAGACGAGATTTCGGCACGCATGTTTTTTCGCGGCTAGCAATCAGCTTTTATCACGAGCGACTGCAGTATATGCGGTTCGATTCATGCTCACAACGTTCGTAAGTGAATTACTCGTCCTTGTTTAACTTTGATAAACAACAACGATGAAATGATTCTAAGGCCGGCATTCTTATTTCAAAACTGTCTTAAGTAATGTCTTAAGATGCTAATACGACCCTCGTGACATCTTAAAACTGTATTTAATAATACAGGAAATAAGAGTCTGGAAAATAAGAGTTGAATACCGACTTAAGAACGTGAATTGAATCGTAGTGATCGATAGACTGCATATAAGCGACCGGCTGCATACGCACACATGGCGCACGTGGCATTTCCCGTTTAAAAAACCCTCATGGAATTAAATAGAAATAAGAAATATAACTGAACTATATATTCTGAACTCAGAACGTTAAATCTATATCTTTCATTCATGAATTCCCTGAAAATCGTTGATGTTAAGTTTGTTGCACTGATATATAGAGTATTCTATTGAGCGCACAATTTCGCAGATTTAGCAAATTTTAAGTCGAATTGCCTCAAATTAATTTTTGTGGTTTCTTATTGGTTTCCTCAGATAGGGTCGCTCTAGTAAAGTTTAATGAGCAGTATATGTTGTTCGCGCTATACGCATCGAAAAGAAAGTAAACTGGCTCGATACCGCGAGCCTATTCGTATACACGTATGCATGTGTCTGTGTATATAAAATATATATGTATATTTATTACATGTATCACGCGCTAGTAGAACCGCGAATAATTTTTTCAATGTCTCTGAATGAAGGTAGTCGGCTAAACTACCGCACGATCGAAGCGGTTCAACCGCTTATCGAGCATATATGCGATAATGTCGCGTTGCACTGAATGGGCGAAGAAAAATATTACCGTCTATATATACGTTTTACGACGTCTTCCAGAAACAATCCATACAAACAGTGCCATCACGTTAGTGTATACCGCGACTGTTAACGTGTATGAATCTATATGTTTGCGCTACATAATGATAAAACTGAGTTTGTTTCTATATACCCGTTTAGTTGCTGAAACGATGTCGATCGAAAATCCGAACAAAAATCTGAACGAATCCGTCCGTGACAGAAAGTTCATGGGGCCGTATTTTCAAAAAATATAGTATACGAAAATCAGAAAGCAAGATCGTGTCTCAGCATATACCTTAATATACATCACATATACGTCACATTATAAATTTTCGTATGCGATATAAATTTAAGAATATAAACCCTGTTTTTTTAGATAAACTTGTACCGTTCATTTCTTCTTTTTTATTCCTCTAATGTAGAAAATAAGGAAAAATAAATCGTAATATAAGCTTAACTGAAAAGAACTACACAAGGCCTATTTTTTTAGCTGAACTTCTCGCACAATTCATCTTTCCTCCTTTTCCTCCGTGGAGAAAAAAAAGAAAGATGAATCATATACAAGTTTAGCTGAAAAAAAAAAGAATATAGATATAAATAAAGCGCTAATAATAATATATTCCGCGCGAAGAGTGCGGGTAACTCGGTTAGCTACCAATCAATTTCTCTAAGGTCTAAACATTGCGCGGTTGCTCTTTTTCCTGGTCGGCGCATTCTACGTATCGAGTTTACGGTTCACTGGATTTCACGCTGTTACATTGTCCACGCGATAGTTTCGCGTCGCGATTTCTCAATTTACGGCGTAATAGTTTTAATTAAAGACAAGAGATTGGTGTGTTTCCGTTAAAAGTGCGTCCATCTTCCCCGCAATAATTCTATGATTATCAAGTGGCGACCGCATTAAATTATTCAAAGGTGTCGCAAATTCGCATTACATGTCGTTCCTACACCGTGCGACGTGTTATTCTACTTTAAACGAAGTTTCCATTTCCTCTTACTAGAGTTTATCCTGGCCATTGTTATCGTCGTGCTGCACAGACTGAACTTGTTCCTGAACCTTGGTGATCCAGCGTTTTGTCGCGTCTTTGAATTGTTGCAAACTCACGCATTCGTTCGACGAAACGGCGACTAAACACTTCCATAATTCCTCCAGATTGTCGATTCTATCGATCAAAATTATCACGTTATGCTATAATATTTATAATATCGTCTTTTTGCAAAAATTGAGCTACTACACAGACACTTAAATGTAAATGAATGGCATTCATTTACATATATCGACCACACATTGTACATATGACACAGGTGAACATTGGTCACACTGATGACAATCACGACAGTTTGATTCGCCTCCGTTTATATTCCACGTGGCTTTCCGTATCTCGTCTTGCGAAAATGTGCTAAAGCCGTGTGCGCCAAGTCGTCGATCGCGTTTGTCCTTGTATCGATCGGCCGCCTGGCGTACACATACCGGCAATACGTTTCAAGCTGTATCGCGGTCGCGTCTCACATTCGTCAACATTGGCGAATGGTGTGGCGTGTCTATGCGTCTCTGATAAGAAAATTAACGTTGTCCCGCTTTCTGCGGGCACTCACGACCAGTTTGGCAATTCATCCTGAATGTACTCGATGATCCTAGAGATCGGCACCGCACCGTTCGTCAAATCCGGAGTCGAGGTTGTCACAGATACGTCGCAATCCATGAATATCTGCTGCAAAACTGGAAAAACGACGGATCGTTTCTGGTCACTTTCCACTCTTCTGAGGGCGGAAAACAAACTCACGATTCCTATTTAATTTGCAATGAGTTAAAGATACTTCGGACACAAGGAGCTACAAGACAATGAGTGCTTTCCATTTGGTGACACAATTTGACACAAGTATCGTTCACACTTTGTCACTCATAGAATGTCAAAAAAGATAAAACGTTTTTGTATTGACTTGTGCCACTGAAATTATCAAATTTCCATTCATTTAATTTTATCTTTTTCTAGTTCTAAGAAATAAAAAAGGATGAAGAATAAAATAAATCTAAACTAAAATTAGTCAATATTAGGAAAAATGAGCATAAAAATTAAACACAATGAAGAATAAGTTGAATAAAAATTAAATTAATCAAAATCAGTAAAAAAACAGGAATAAATGAAATGCAATTTAATCCAGTGAATTAATTTTCGATTGTAGACACACATAAAAATCTTTACAATTCTTGCAACTTTTCTGCATAGAATTATCCGATTTCTAGTACACTTTATATAAAAATAAAATATAATTACTAAGATAATTCTTGGTCCATTTCTATCGATATAGTTAACTTTAATAATCTTGATTTAATTTATTCTTTATCTATTTTGTTACACTTCTCTCACATGTGGTGCACACATTGATTATTCAATTGCCACAAGTATATGGGTCCTATAATTTTAATGATCCCAAACGGCAGATTTTTCGAAATGTATTTCTATAGGCAAGAATACTCTCGGAAGGTTGTCGGCATTTTCCGAGAGAAAACACGAGCGTAAATATTTTGATTTTTATGAGGACCCAGCATCTCGCTGGCATGATAGACCAGTGCGCTGTCTACTATGTTACACTCGTGCTTCTTTTTTTTTATAATTCTTACAACTAAAAAAAGATACAAAGTATAAGTTAAACCGAGATAAAATTAATTTACATGGATAAAAATGGATATGCCATCCACTACACATGATCTACATACCGCTGTATTTTCTGTTTTTTAAGCATTAATTGTCTTATTAAGTAATTTTTAATTTTATACAAAAAAGGCAGATATTTTACATTGACAATTGATGGTAAAAAACTTTGAGCAAATTGAACGTGACAAATAGAGGTTGTAATAAGAACCATTTAAGCAGGAACTTGATCTCCATGAATATCCTCTCTGACATTCGCGCACTGCAGAATTTTCGATTTCAAAGGTCGAGTAAAATTTAATTAGTTTAATTTATCAGTAAAAGAAATCACCATTTTCCAAGTCGACCTCATCTTCCAACTCCGCGAACATTGTGATATTGCTGAAAATTCTGCGAATCGTCGTCGAGATTCTGCGAAAGAGAACCACTTTTGTAGATACACATGCACACATACACGGAAAGGGATTTTGATTTGTATTTTACAGGGGTCGCGAAATAACGCCTTCAGGCATCTTTAGCTTCGATGACGAGGAACTCAACCATGACACAACGAAATCAATCTCGCAATCACTCGCAATCGACACTGAAAAGCTGGCCCGAGATCACCCCATTCCACAGTCTCGAGGGACGATGGCGAGAGGGGTACCCAGGGAAGCAAGGCCGTCCGTTTACCTTCACTGTAGTGATATACTTTCGTCGCGGCGGGGGAGAAGAATTGTCGCGTGAACTGATTGATCGATTTTCCCGCGGAGGTGCAGAAAATTGCAGCCAAAGAGCGGGAACTAGAGTTCGCTTGTTTCTCAGGTGTACTCCACTGCACTTCTTCTTCCGTGGAGCGT